AAATAAAATGTTCATCATATTCATTATTAATGATGGAATGAAGTGAGCAGGAACGAATTTTGGAATAATCATTGTTTCGGATACATTCAACAGCTTCTTCCCATTTCTTCTTATCGGTTGATGCCATTTTTTTTGTTTGTAGTCATTACAAAAATAGTTTATACACGTTTCGAATAATATCAATCAACAAAGGCACAGCTCAGATGGAGAATCTGCGAAAAAGGATCCTAAAAAGCAACATTCAAGAAAGAAACACTCTGAGATTAAAGATGGAAAGTTTATTGAGTAGAAAATTGTCTTCATTGATTTAGTGGAATAATGATAAGTTGCTCTTTCAAATATTTGAAACTTTGTTTACAGTTTGTTTCAATTAATGAAATTTTGGGCTGCAGAGCTTCCATTCTCAGCAGCTTTTATGATCCATTCCATTGCTTTGCAATAATCATGTTGAACTCCTTTTCCAATAAGGTATAACCATCCAATTTGAAATTGAGCGCATGAATGACCATGTTCAGCAGCTTTTAGAAACCATTCCATTGCTTTTTTGTAATCTTGTTTGACTCCTTGTCCATTTTGATATAAAAATCCAATTTCAAATTGAGAAATTGAATGACCATTGTTAGTAGATATTAAAAAATACTCCATTGCCTTGGAATAATCTTGTTTAACTCCTTGTCCATATCCATATAAACATCCAATGTTGTGATATGATGCTGAATGACCATTTTCAGCAGCTTTTAGAAACCATTCCATTGCTTTGGAATAATCTTTTGTAGCTCCTTGTCCATTTTGATATAAACATCCAATTTCAAATTGAGAAATTGAATGACCATTTTCAGCAGCTTTTAAATACCAATCCATTGCTTTGGAATAATCCTGTTGAACTCCTTTTCCATGCTTGTATAACCATCCAATTTGAAATTGCGATGCTGACCTGAATGACCATTTTCAGCAGCTTTTAAATACCATTCCATTGCTTTTTTATAATCTTGTTTGACTCCTTGTCCATTTTGATATAAAAATCCAATTTGTAATTGAGAAATTGAATGACCATTGTCTAGTAGCTATTAAAAACTATTCCATTGCCTTGGAATAATCTTGTTTAACTCCTTGTCCATATCCATATAAACATCCAATGTTGTGATATGATGCTGAATGACCATTTTCAGCAGCTTTTAGAAACCATTCCATTGCTTTGGAATAAT